AAGCAGGAGGAGGAGGAGAAGAGGAAGGAGGAGGAGGAGTAGGAGGAGAGGAAGGAGGAGGAGTAGGAGAAGAGGAAGGAGGAGGAGAGGAAGGAGGAGGAGGAGGAGGAGAGGAGGAGGAGAAGGAGAGGAAGGAGGCAGAGAGAGTGAAGGAGAAAAGAAAGAGCAAGAAGTGGTGGCGGAGGCTGCGCTCTTTCTTCAGAGCTGCCAAAAAACAGCCTCCAGAGAGCAGCTCAGGTCAGGGAGAGGAGGAGCAGCAGCAGGATGAGGGAGAGAAGAGGAAGGTGGCATGGGCAGGAAGAAGTAGTGATGGTACATTACACATCCATCTTATGAAAACATTTATTTTAATACAGCTCTACTTTGATCATGTAAAATCTGACACCATCAAACACAATATCAAAAATACGCATTAGCCCATACTATAACAAAATCCACGTTAAGGCCATGATTAGATCTTTATTCCATGACATGTTAAAAACATTACTGTTATATGTATTAATGTACTAATGTATGTTAAAACTATAAATATTCATTATTCATTCGTTAAAATTAATAATTACATGAAAATTAATTTAAATAGGTTTTAGATTGAATCACTGATATAGATCAGTGGATTTAATACTGCCTGACTCATCACAAGACACTTCTCTCAATGTTTTAATTTTCATGTTATTTTATCTTTTAATAGACTACATCTTCAGCCGCTACACCATTGGCGATCAGCTGGGGAAAGGTGGTTTTGGTGTTGTGTACGAAGGTAGACGTTTGGATGATGATCTTAAAGTAAGTTAATATAAATAACGCATTATCAAGCTAGAAAATGTTTGCCCTGTCTTATCCTCATCATTTACTCTTAGAGTATCTCAAGTTATTTTTTTTGTTCATCAGGTGGCTTTGAAATATGTCACAAAGACCAAGCACACGGAATGTATATTCATTGTAAGTACATTACACTATAAACAATATAAAATGTCTCATATTAACATTAACATAAATCCCTTTTTGGAAAACCACCTCCATCTAACCATCATAAGAACTGTCTGTCTTCTAGCCTGATCATCCAAACCCCCTTCCTAAAGAGATCGCCCTCACCATCCTGGCGAACAAAGGTCCCAGCGTGCCAGAAATAATCAGGCTGCTGGACTGGACGGACCACCCTGACCACTTTGTCATGGTCCTCGAATGTCCCTCTCCCTGTGAGAATCTCGTGGAGTTCATCAGGCGTCACGGTGGAAGCCTCGACGAGGAGAAAACACGGCAGATCATG